GTCTGTCTCTCTCTCCTTCTGTCTGTCTATCTCTCTCTCTGTCTGTCTGTTTCTCTGTCCATCTGTCTGTCTCTGTCTTTCTGTCTGTCTGTGTCTCTGTCTGTCTGTCCTGTCTGTGTGTGTCTCTCTGTCTGTCTGTCTGTCTCTGTCTCTCTGTCCATCTGTCTGTCTCTCTCTCTCCTTCTGTGTCTCTGTCTCTCTGTCCATCTGTCTGTCTCTCTCTCCTTCTGTCTGTCTGTCTCTGTCTGTCTGTCTGTATGTTTCTCTGTCCATCTGTCTGTCTCTGTCTTTCTGTCTGTCTGTGTCTCTGTCTGTCTGTCCTTCTGTCTGTGTGTGTGTCTCTCTCTCTGTCTGTCTCTCTGTTTCTCTGTCTGTCTGTCTGTCTCTCTGTCCATCTGTCTGTCTCTCTCTCCTTCTGTCTGTCTGTCTGTCTGTCTCTCTCTGTCCGTCTGTCTGTCCCCCCCTTCCCCGCCCCCCGCTGCAGGCCTCCTCCGTGACCCTCGCCCCCCTCGCCGCCTCCTGCCGGTATCGGGTGCGGGTGGGGGGGGAGGAGCTGCTCTTCACCACCCCGCCCCTCCCCCGCCCCGCACATCCGGGTAAGTGAGGGGGGAGGGGGAGGGGGGAGGACCCACCCCAACCCCCAACCCCGGGGGGGGGAGGGGCCGGGAGCAAAGAACAGAGGAGGAAGAAGGGGAGGAAGAGGAGGAGGAAGAAGAAAAAGGAAGAAGAAGAACAAGAGGAGGAAGAAGAGGAAGAAAAGAAGAAGAAGAAGGAGAAGAATTAGAAGAAGAAGGAGGAGGAGGAGGAGGAGGAGGAGGAGGAGGGAAGGAGAAAAGAAGAAGGAGAAGAAGAAGAATTAGAATTAGAAGAAGAAGAAGAAGAAGGAGAAAGAGATGGTAAAGGAGAAGGAAAACGAGAAGGAGATGGAGTAGAAGGAAAAGGCAAGGAGGAGGAGGAGGAGGAGAAGAAGAGGAGGAGGAAGAAGAAAAAGGAAGAACAAGAACAAGAGGAGGAAGAAGAGGAAGAAAGGACGAAGAAGAAGAAGAAAGAAGAAGAAGGAGAAAGAAGAAGAAGGAGAAAGAAGAAGGAGAAAGAGATGGTAAAGGAGAAGGAAAAGGAGAAGGAGATGGTAAAGGAGAAGGAGAAGAAGAAGAAGAAGGAGAAGGAGAAGAAGAAGAAGGAGAGAAGGAGAAGAAGAAGAAGAACAATTACAAGAAGAAGAAGAAGGAGAAGTAGAAGAGGAAGAAGAAGGAGAAGAAGAAGGAGAAAGAGATGGTAAAGGAGAAGGAGAAGGCGAGGAGGAGGAGGAGTAGGAGAAGAAGAAGGAAGAGAAAAGGAAGAGGAAGAAGAAGGAGGAGAAGGAGAAGAGGATGAGGAAGAGGAAGAAGAAGAGGAGGAAGAAGAAGAGGAGGAGGAAGAACAGAAGGAAGAGGAAAGAGAAGAAGAGGAAAAGAGGAGGAGGAAGAAGGGAAAAGGAAGAATTGGAAGAAGAGAAAAAAGGAAGTAGAGGAAGAACAGGAAGACTAGGAGGAAAAATAGGAAAAAGAAGGGGAAGAACAGGAAGAAGATGAAGGGGGAGAAGTAGAGGAAGGAGGGAACGAAAGAAGGAAGGAGGGATGGAAGGAAGGAAAGAGGGATGGAGGGAAGGAGGGAAGAAAAGAGGGAAGGAAGGAATGAAAGAAGGAGGGAAGGAAGGAGGGATGGAAGGAAGGAAGGAAGGAGGGATGGAAGGAAGGAGGGAAGGAAGGAAGGAGGGATGGAAGGAAGGAAGGAAGGAGGGATGGACGGAAGGAGGGAAGGGAGGAAGGAGGGAAGGAAGGAAAGAAGGAGGGAAGGAAGGAAGGAAGGAGGGATGGAAGGACAGAAGGAAGGAAGGAAGGAAAGAGGGAAGGAAGGAAGGAGGGAAGGATGGGTGGAAGGGTGGATGGATGGATGGGTGGGTGGGTGGATGGATGGGTGGGTGGGTGGATGGATGGATGGATGGATGGGTGGATGGATGGATGGATGGATGGATGGGTGGGTGGGTGGATGGATGGATGGATGGATGGGTGGATGGATGGATGGATGAATGGATAGATGGGTGGATGGGTCGATGGATGGATGGGTGGATGGATGGATGGGTGGATGGGTGGATGGATGGATGGATGGGTGGATGGATGGGTGGATGGATGGGTGGATGGATGGATGGATGGATGGATGGATGGGTGGATGGATGGATGGATGGGTGGATGGATGGATGGATGGATGGATGGATGGATGGATGGATGGGTGGATGAATGGATAGATGAATGGATAGATGGGTGGATGGGTGGATGGATGGATGGGTGGATGGATGGATGGATGGGTGGATGGATGGGTGGATGGATGGATGGATGGATGGTCTGGGTGTGCCCAGGGGGTGCTGCGTTTCCTAGGGGCAGGTGGGGGGGGCGGCCACTCACCCCCTTTATCTCCTCCCAGGGCCCCCTGGGAAGCAGCTCCACCCCGCTCCTCCTGACAAGCGACCTCCAGGGAGATACTGACCCCTTCCTCCATGGGATGGGACTGTGCACAGGACGTGAGCTCCTCGCACACAACATGGCTCCCACGAGCAGAACTTGGTGCCAGCCCTGGGTGCTGACTGTGGAGAAGTCCATCCCCGGGGTCCCTTCTGGCCACCATTGATGCATCTGCAAGGAAGGAAGAGACGGTGAAGGGAGGGAGGCCATCTTCAGAGGAAAAAACAAACACACAGATATGGGTGGATGGGTGGATGGGTGGATGGATGGGTGGATGGGTGGATGGATGGA